TGAGAGTTAACTTTTCGGGTCTGGTGACCCGAAAGGGGCTGAGGAAGGGTCACCGGACCCGAAATGTTAACTCTGATTTTTTCTCCACAGATGCTGCCAGACCGGAAAAAGTGAGAGTTGTTTATAAGCCTCCAATCAGTATTAGTAAAGTGGCGATGGCATCAAACGGGTAATTAAATATGCAGATAACAATAGAGCAAAATTAACTCTGGGTGATTTTCATTTACATATAGGCTGGGCAAACCACATTGGTAACAATACAGTGATGGATAAATGCCTGGATTGTGTACAAGATGGGGTTTTAGACCAGTATGTTAAGGAACCAACTTGGGAACAGGCTATCCTGATTTTGGTACAATGCAATAAGGAGGGTTTAATGAATAACCTTTAGGGTCCTTTAGGAAAGAGTAACCATAACTTGAAAGAATCCTTCATTGGGATGGGAAGTGAAGAAAGCCAATCTAATACTAGGGTCATAAACCTAAATAAATACAAGCACAAAGTTATCATGGGTAAATTGGCTATAATTGATTTTACAGCAAATTCTGTTTTTGTTCCTGATTTACAGCATCTGCAGTACTTTCAGTTTTTATCTTGCTTTTTCTCCTTGTTGCTTGCATCCAATCAGATTGGTTGTATGTCTAGATTTACTGAGCCAATATTCTTTCCCACTGTCATACATATTGTATCCTTTACTAACATCATCCCACCTCCTTTCCCTGCTCTTCCTAAATATTAAATAACCTTGGTAATTCAGATTTTAGCCTTGGTCACCTGCAGCCATTGGTCATAATCTTAATCATATTGTACTTGTTTACAACTATTTGCACTATTAGTTCATCTACTTTATTGCAAATGTTCTGTGTATTCAGATACAGTATGTATAGATGTCTCTTTGTTAACTTTTTTTACATTTTTTTGTACTATGATCTTACGTACTACTAGCTCTTGTTTCCTCTGTCTTCCACTTCCACATTCTACTCTTCTATCTATCAGTGGAAGCGATCCTGAGATTATTATCTTTGAAGTATTGCTTTTTAACTTATTTTCTATATTTCCCTATATTTTGCCTGATGGACCTCATCCTTCTCTTTCTATGTATAAAATATACATATTTTATATATGTACCAACATGGACCACAATATCTGACTGTTCACTCTCCTTCAGAATGTCCTGCAGCCATTCTGTCATCCTTGATCCTGATACCAGGGAGGCAATGCGCCATACTGGGTGTTACATCTGTGACCCTAGAAACAGTGGTGTGTTTCCCTTATGATAGAATCCTCTATCACTATTGGTCTCCAATCCTTTTATCCTTCTCACCCTGAGCAGCTGAACTCATTGTGCCATAGATTTAGCTTTCGCTGCATTCCTGAGATACTACCTCTCCCAGCAATAAGCTCCTAGTGCATTGAAGCAAAAGAATCAGTTGAGTTTATTTTATTATCAGCGAGCAATTTTTCTTTTGATTTTACTGAACTTGCTTAATAACGTAAATCTCCACTAATGATTAAATTCATTTTATTCCAACATTAATTAGGGTTTTCTCTGAAAGTTTATAAGCCATTTCTATTTGCACAAGTATATGGGAGTAGTTAATTAATCAACTCAGATCCTAATCAAGGGTGATCCGGTTAATCTGATTTTAGGTTTAAATATAATATAGCCCCTTGGTTTTACAGATGAACTTCAAACTAAGCTAAACCACAATTAAATTCATCATTCAAGCATTTTTGTTCTATGAGGGCTGGATAAATTTTCATAAGACAGATGCATCAAGGATGCAGTTAATAATGCATACAAAATCATAATAGCAACCTAGATCATGAAGACAACTGTAAACATTAATAATTTATTTAAAAAATTGAACCTTCCAAATTATTTTGGTCACTAAACTCAAAATTTAACTATCTTGTTTCATTTTTGACCCAGGTTGGTCATAAATAGGATCTGAATTTAGAAGATCTGAGAAAAATCAGAAGATGTAACATGTCATGGACTGCAGTAAATTTTAGTTGATAAAGCAATTAAATCAATCTGGGATTGGAGAGAGGGCAAGAGGAGACGGCAGTCAGAAAATATTAAACACTGCTTCTTTGATTCATATGTGATTGACAACAAAAGTATACTAACCTCCAATTCCTCTCGGTCTTGTTCTTCTTTTCTATTTACCTTACACTGTTCTTTTTCCAACGCCCACTGCAGTTCCCTTGCCTTCTTCTGTTCATTTGCCAGCACATCACTTAACATATCGACTTCAGCTGCCTTATCAGTTAATTCCACTCTTTAAAAAAAATTAAATGATCACTGGAACTTTATATTTACCAACTATTAGAAAACTTAATAGCTGTAGAAATCTATAGAACTTTTTGTTAATAGCAAAAATGCTGATTACTGATCTTCTTTGCTGATTTCAGACAATGTATTTTGATAGAAAAAAACACCCTTGATGAATTGGCAATTAAGAAAAATTTGCTGAAGCAAGAGGTATTTGATTTAAGCTGTTTGTCTTGCATGCGTCAGGCCCTTTCACAAGAAATTCAAATGTAAAACCAGCATTTACGTTGCATGATGGGAGACTGCTGACTGGTTGCCAAATGGACTCTGATTACATTCTCCATGGCAACCTGCAACCACAGTCTACTTGCCGACTAATCAGCATTCTTCTTCTCGTGCAGTTCTTCCTTTCTGAGGAAGAATGTTCTGGCTACGGAGGGAATGCAACAAAGGTTCACTAGACTGATTCCTGGGATGACAAGACCGACGTATGAAGACAGATTGGATCAGTTCGGACTATATTCACAGGAGCTTAGAAGAATGAGGGGGATCTCATAGAAACGTATAAAATTCTAACAGGAGAAGATAAGATGAAACACAGGAAAGATGCTCCCGAAGATGCGGGTGTCCAGAACCAGAGGTCACAATCTAAGGATCCTTGTTTTCTTTATTCATTGACAGGATGAGGGAGTCGCTGGTTAGGCAGCATTTATTGCCCATACCTAATTGTCCAGAGGATAGTTAAGAGTCAACCTTGTTGCTGTGGATCTGGAGTCACATGTAAGCCAGACCAGGTAAAGATGGCAGTTTCCTTCCCTAAAGGACAGTGAACCAGATGGGGTTTTCTGACAATCGACAATGGATTCATGGTCATCATTAGATTCTTAATTCCAGATATTTATTGAATTCAATTCCACCACCTGCTGTGGCGAGATTCGAACCCAGGTCACCAGAACGTTATCTGGGTCTCAAGATTAACAGTCCAGTAATAACACCACTAGGCCATCGTCTCCCCATATGGGTAAGCTATTTAGGATTGAGATGAAAAGTTTCTTCACCAAGAGAGTGGTGAGCCTGTGGGATTCTCTGCAGCAGGAAGTGCTTGAGACCAATACATTGAATGCTTTCAAGGAGAAGTTAGATATAGTTCTTAAGGGTAAAGGGACCAAAGGGTATGGCAAGGAAGGAGGAACAGGGTATGGCGAGAAAGGAGGTACAGAGCTGGATGATAAGCCATGATCGTATGAATGGTGGAGCCATCTTGAAGGACTGAATGGCCCACTCCTGATCCTATTTTCTATGTTTCTATAAATATTGGGTTTTCCCTTGAATTTGTATTCTTGCAAAATGTCCTGATAACAGCAAGATGAAAGATTTTGACAAAATGTCTTTTTTCAGCAATACTCAAGTTCTCTACTACTAAATGAATAAAAGATACATTGCTCACTGTAGCTGAAAGGACTCAGGTGATCAAGAATATTACTATCACATCTAAGATGTGTATTTTTAAAAGCTGCTGATTGAGCTGGGCAGTAAATTACCTTAGCATCTCTAAATCTTTCAAGTGCTTATGTTGTGTCCTGAGTGTTGTTTCAAGCTCCAATTTAGTTTGAGAAAGCTCATTTTTCATCTCTGCCACTACTATCTTCTCCAAATTCAGTTGGTCTTGGAGTTCAGCTCCCCTTTCCTTTACTGTATTCAATTCCATCTGTAACTCGAGAACTTGAGCCTCCTTTGCTTGTAAATTTTTTCCCAGTAGTTCCACTAAAAGTGAAGAGATGCATTAAGCTTGAGTCTATACATATAAGTACAGATAGCCTGAGATATATATCAATTTGTTTTAAAATCATACATTTGAGTGTCTTTTCCTGTGTGTTTGGTGAAACTTGCATCAATGTGGGAATCAGCAAGAAGTTAGTTACTGGTTAAATGATTCTGTATAGTGGGAGGCAAGTTGAGGAGCCACAGACAATTTTACAGTTATCAGGCAACGTACTGTCTAAGGGCACGATTGCCTCTTTCACACGGACAGATATCCATCCCCAACTGGCAGGACACTGGGCACTGCTGCAAGTCTACAATGAAGAGCCATGAAAGAGGATGAACTAGAAGCTAGGTATTCTTGCTTCTTCAATCAGACAGGCCTGTTGAACTGTAGAGAGGAGGTGTTGTTAATAGGATGCTCAAACAGGGCAATCTGCTACAAGTCCTGCCTTCCCAATAGGGTGGCACATGGCTCAGTGGTTAGCATTGCTGCCTCACAGTGTCAGAGATGCTGGGTTTCTGTCCGATGCTCCAGTTTCCTCCCATAGTCCAAAGATGTGCAGGCTAGGTGGATTAGCCATGGTAAGTGTGGGGTTACGGGGATAAAGAAGGGTGACTGGGTCTAGGTGGGATGCTATCCGGAGGGTCACTAAGACTCGATGGCCTCTTTCCACACAGTTGGGATTCTATCATTATCGAACAAGTTCTAAGCTTGGTAGTCTTGCCATGTACAGCAGGAGGAAGGATTTCTTCAGTGACCAGTAGTAAACCAGCTTCAACTTACCTATGGACATGCAGGTTGACGGACACCAACCCTGCCACTATTAAAATACCTGCTTATAAACTACTAGCACTCTGCTGCTACCCCCATCCTACTCCTCAGGTTGAGGGTGAGTTAAAGCCTTAAAGTCTTCACTAAGGTATAAATATGATAATTTGTGTGGAATATGCATGATCAGGAATTTCAAACCACCTTCACTTCTTTGTGCAATTCGTTCTTGCACAGTTATGGGCATCTTGTCACCCTGTTGGATCCCTTGCAGATATGACCACAGTTCACGTATCTCCATCATCATACTATTCCTATCTGCAGTCATTAGATGCTCCATATCGGCACTCCTCCGTGTTTCCTGTAGCAAATAGAAAAGGAACAAATTTTAACATCATCAATGTCTGTGTTAACTGAAGATTCACCTTTTCCAATGCTCCATGGCCAGCCTGCCACTCTCAATAAATTTCAGTTCATTCAAAACTCTGTCACTCGTATCTTCTCTAACATCAGACCCTGTTTACTAATCACACATTGGTTGATGACCAATTGGTTCCTGATCTAGCAACAGCTTGATTTTGAAGTGCCCATGCTCATATTGAATAACTCCATCAACTTATTTCTCCCAATTGCTGTAATGTCCTTCAAACCGACAATTATCTAAAATTTCTGCATTCCACCAATCTGGCCTCTTCCATAACCTTGCTTTCTATTGCCGTGGTTTGTGACCTTTGGAGGACTAGGTCTTAAAGCGCTGGAATTTTTGCAATATATCTTTCTGCTTCTCTACTTCTCTTTCTCTTAATTCATTTCTTAAAATGTCCTTGCACAATTCAGTAACAGATTGTGCCTGTTAATGCTCTACTGAAGCTTTAAAAACTCCCCTTTATTCTTTCTAACAATGACTTTCCATCTAGTGCCATACTTTACCATTTTCCATGAAACCTCACAGTCATTAAGTGTTAATGTGTAACTTAATGTTTGGTGCAAGTTCATGTGGATACTAATTATGGAATCATGTTTGTTCATGTCAGCTAAGGTGCTTTAATTTGAGAAAAACATGCAGGACCACAAGGTCCATCTGTGTGGAATCAGCATGTTCTCACATGTCTGCGTGTGTTTCCTCCAGGTGCTCCAGTTTCCTCCCACAGTCCAAAGATCTGCAGGTTAGGTGGATTGGCCATGCCAAATGTCAGGTTATGGGAATGGGGTGGACGCTGGGTCTGGGTGGGATGCTGTTAGGAGGGTTGGTGCAAGATTCCGTTAATAAAAGTCTTGTAAACGATTTTGTAACAAATACCAATGTTAGATAGATTGAGTACTTAGTAGCTTTACAATCAAGGTCCAGTCATACAGCATACAGAAAACCAGTTAATTACGTTTTTCAGTAAGGAAAAACTGAAAGACAACGTGCATTTTTAGTGAGAAGAGATACCTGTTCTTTTAGTAAGTTTAATAATGTCACCGCATCCATACTACTCAGTGATGAAGCTTGTGCACGAAGAGCAACCATTAAAACATCTCGTTCTTTACTAAAAGCATGTTGAACAGCTTGGAGAAGTTCACGCCGCCAGTCTGTGATGTTTTCAGGAGATAAAGCCTATAAAAGACATTTATTTGATTTTATATATTACTCCGGTAGATACCACATCTGAAACCGAGCCATATGAATCTTCCAAAAAAATTACACTTAGCTCTGCTAACTAAGTTACTGTAGGCAGTTTATATATCATTACTTATTTTCTTTGGATGAGATAATGGACCAGATCTTCCAGCATTTTGATAGTCAGAGATTCTGTGGGAGCTCCCTGCAAAGTTTAACCTTCTGATGGACAATCTGCCTGCCTCCAAGGACTGTCAGGAAAAATATTCAACTCTGAGTTAGAATTGAAGATTTTGGGCAATTCCAACTTACTTACCTGAATTGTTAGTTAGGAAATGCAAGCTTGAGACATTCTGGGCTAACTCTTGCATGACTATACAACGGAATTCTACCATGCTTCCTGACTACTTCCAGACCCCAATCTCCATCAATGCCTCACTACCTGGTTTCCAAGCCACTCTGGCACTCCCCACACCCAACTACCATCTGACTAAGATTACCACCTACACACACACACATCCCTGTCCCAACCAGCACTTAATCTAATAAAAACCGAAAGAACTGCGGATGCTGTAAATCAGGAACAAAAACAAAGTTGCTGGAAAACAGCAGCATCTGTGTAGGAAAAAACAGAGTTAATGTTTTGGGTCTGGTGACCCTTCCTCAGAACTTAATTAATAACCCCTCCTGACTCAATTATCCAACTCACGCTTGCCATTCTTACCCAGGCCATCCTATCCTCTTACCAACACTCATTCACTAACACACTAAAAAGGTGTTTAAGTGCCCCAAAACTTTTCGGTATTAGTCAATTAACATATAACAGCATACAGCAGCTACTGCTGCATAACTAACCCTAGTCACACTGCCATCCCAGCCCATCCTATGCTACAAAGGAGAAGATTGATGGAAGACCACTTTGCATCTTTGAAGACACCAGATTTACAAGTCCCAGCCAGAAAAGCAGAACTTGATTGCAGCAGTTTCAATTAGGAGCAAAGTGCCAATCCGATGATGACTGCTGTTCTTTGGACCCAATCGGTCAATGCCAATCAGTGGATTTTCAAAGACCACATGACACTTTTCAAAGACATGCTATTTGGAAGGGTGCTTCCCTGTTCAATCACTATAAGTATCAAATTGCCTGCACAACTGAGGTGATTATGCAAAAATGATATGAAGCACTTTGAAGTAATGTGAAAGGGTGCACTATAAATAAATGTACTGCTCATTTTTTTTGCCTAAATTGGATGATCTACGCAACTTTCCTTTTTATACAGTGAATTTCTCTTTATACTGAAGTCTCTGTGTCATATATGGTGTGGATTAGCACGTGATCAGGCTAATGATAACATCTGCTAATGCCACTTTCAACCAACTAGTAGAATATATACCAAATTTGGTGATGGCACTTTCCAATTTCCACATTGCAGTTTGACTGAGATTGAAAGCTTTGTGAAACTTATGGGGTTCAAATACATTGTATGCTAAATCATGCTGCAAGATTAGTATTTTCAGAAGATTTTCCATAAAGGCTAAAGCTCTTATAAATATAAGACTAAGGTTCTAAAATTATATTGAGATAGGGTGGACCACATATTTTATACAATGGGTGAAATTCCTCTGTTACTTTAGCTGCCTGTGGTAACCTACTTAAGATTAATAGAATTAATGGAATGGAGGAAGCAATTAGTTTTAGTTTAGCATTCAGAAAGGACTCATGTTCCCAAATCACTAAGAGCACCAAGAGACATCTTTAACATCATCTTTTTCTTTGGCAGTCCTCTGGGTTGAGGACAACTTCCTTCCACTCAGGTGGGTTGGGGGAGGGGTAGGGAGGTTGAGTTCTGTGGGGAACAGTCCAGTCCTGAAGCTGCAGACTCTGCCACAGGTGGGACAGGTGCTGTTTGTTGAAGTGGGGGCATGGGATGCTCTTCATTCTGCGTGCTATTTCTGCAAAATGTAAATGGCCTCCACATGCTCATTGACACTTAAAGTGATTGATGCCTGCACAGATGTTTCTTCTCAGTTTGTATGTTCTTGGACAAGATATTCTCATGTGTTGATGGAGATGTTGCATTTGTCTTGGGAGGTTTTCAGGATGTCCTTGTATGACACTCAGCCCTACTAGTAATCACTAGCGGAGCTCAGAGTACAGCACTTGTTTAGAGAGTCATTGTGCAGACAGTGCGGTTCACCCAACATAGTTAGTTGTACGTGAGCAGTGTCTCAATACTGGAGATGTTAGTCTGTGAGAAGACATTCATGTTAGTACGTCTACCCTGCCAGTGGATTTGCCGGATTTTGCAAGGACAGCGATGATGATAACTCTCCACGACTTGAGGGCTGTCGAGAATGGATTCAATAAATCTTAGTTTGTGGACTTGGATCATGAAATTGTTGCCAAAATCCTGGCTTACAAACATCTCAAAAGCAAAGCAAATCAGTGACTCCAGTCCCATGTTGTATGAATAAAACTGAAGGCCTTCAGGAGTGAAAATTCTGATTAGGGATATTTGCTTGCTTGTATGGTAAATGCCATAAACAGGTCAACGATCTGTTTCTTCGGTAATTATTTTTGGATGTTGATATTTAGCTATGGAGATGTAATAAATATTGCTTTGCTATTGTACCATTAAAGATTGTTCTTAAATGTTTTGTTCTTACCTTGGTTTCTCCAGTGCCCTGAACATTGGCAAGTACATCTTTAAGTGACTGTACCATATTCAAAAGTTCCCATCTTTCCTGAAACCAACTGCCTGAGTGACTTTCCAGAGGCGGTGGTTGTCCTTCAAAGTAGGGGGATTTTGAAAGGGTCAATACCTGTATACCCTCTTGATGTACCTCATGAAGTAAAGACTATAAAAGATTGAGAAAAGAGTGGATTAAAAATTTTCGTTACATTGCTTTGGAGCCACGTTACTGATATAAATTTCATCAATAAACAATATATAATAAATATTTACATAAAAAAGGAAAAATCAGCTTTCAGCAACTCTTAATTTTTTTTAAAAATGAAATTATTTTGATCAGCATGAGGGATGTTTTTAAGAAATTGAACTCTTAACTTGAATATCTGCCACTGCATTCAAGAATTCCAAATTAGATTAGAATAAGCATGCCCTGGATGCCAGTGTGTCTGGGCCTACCCTCAGAAGACTACTGCCTTTACTATCAATATGGTATTTTCCATTTCCTCAACAGCTACACTGTGCTTTCTATAAGTATGTAAGAATATTGACATCTTACCTTTATTTTATCAGGAAGATTCTCTGTACCCTCCCTAAGAGTTGTATGAGATACATGGTTTACTCTTCTATTTTCTGTAAACATATTTCCGCATTCCTGTCCTTCAGGAGGAATGTCAAAAGTTCTTGGACTCCCAGACCGGCTATCTAGAAGCAGGATGAAATGCGTACATTCAGTTGAATTAACATATTTGAGTGAAAACATTCAAGATATTATCTACCTCCATAACTAAGAACATATTTCATGATGCTAGGACATTTTGACAGAGCATTTCAATTTTTTTTGAAAATAAAAATGTGGTAAACAAACAGTAAATTCTGTCATCCCTCTCTTACAACTCGGCATTCTGTTAAATCAAGGATGCTTTCACAGCATGTTCCAAATCCCCAAGCTCTATTACCTAGAATGACAAGGTCAGAAGTCACACAACACCAGGTTACAGTCCAACAGGTTATTTTGAAATCACAAGCTTTTGCAGCACTGCTCCTTTGGCAGGTGAAGTGAAGAGAATCATACAGGCACAGCACTTATAGGCAGAGGGATCAAAAGATTGTACAAACGGTGTGAGCCGAGTGTCAACAGGCTTAATAACAAGTCTCTGCAGGTGATCCAAAGAGTCAGATGGTGTGAGCAAAGTGTCAATAGCTGAATAGCAAGTGAAGGGATGACCTACAATCTGATTAATTGAGGCAGAGAGATAACCACAAAAATTTAAAAATAAGATTGTGCTGGAGACAAACCAAACGGGTGGAATGACGTGATAGGTACAAGAAGCACATGCCGAGGATCTAATCAAAGTAACAAGTAATCGAAAACTGTACAAACTAATTAAGGTAGAGAGATCAAAACAAGTTTTCAAGGTGATGGTGTCAAAACAGGACAGTAAGAAAGATTTTACAAATACAAATACTCCTTTGAAAAGACTTTAAGAGCTTGTCGTGTCCCACATTCTTATTTCCCTTCCCACAGTTCCACATTTGACAATGTTCAATCAGGCTTACAACCTCACCATTGCACTAAAAGCACCAGGAACATTATGGAGAGAGCTGAACCTGTTGTTGTAATCTCTTACAGCCAAGAGTCAAAAGATGCTTTCGTCTACTCATTATTGAGTAAATTAGAACCAAATAGGTAAAAAGACACTGTGCTAATTCAGTGCATAATTTATTACCAATAAAATTCTTAGCAATCACTTGTATTTATATAGCACTTATAATGTAACAGAATGTCACAAGGTGTTAAGCCTAATTAGTACGAATATCAAATCTTATATTTTCAAAATAAACCATATCCTTTTTGACCAATATTGGAGTTTGGCTGAAATTTAAAAAAAAAATGGTTATTGAAGAATGTAGAGCAATAAAAATTTCTTACCACTGACACTGTTATCCCTGAGTTGTAATGTGATTGATGGTTCTGGTTGACCAAGATGAGCCTGAGTGTAGGAGAAATGAACAGCAAGTTTTAGAATATAATATAACAGTAGCAATTACATATTTATCACAATTTAAAATTGTAGAAAAGTCCAGAGGCAGCAGAAAAAAATGAATATAATTCATAACAGGAAATAAAAAGGGTGCATGGCATAAAAATAGCAACAGTATCACTTCAAAATCTAGAGTCATTACCATGCAAAATAATTGAATGAAAGAGCTTCACCATCAAATTCTACTAGAAACAATGTTAGACTATTTTAAGAACTGGTTTAGGTCTGTTCGAAGTTCCAGGGTGACACTCTGGAAGAATCATGGTGGATTCATTTTAGCTCTGAAATGTCCCTGTCCAGGATTCTTGCTGTGCAAGATTGGTGAGGGCAAGTACTTTTGTTTGTATTTTTTAAAATATAATTTTCAAAAATCAAGTCCTTGTTTACAGATCATACTGAGCCAGCACTGCCATCCAATCCAGCAACATTTGCTTCTATTTTATCCTCCACAAAACAGGACCAAACCTTGTCATATCGTAGCTAATTTGATTTGTGCCCTTGTTTCAGTCCTTATCTATTATGTTGAATAATTTGCAACAATTGCACCTTCTACAAACATTAAAGGCTTTGAAGTCTGGTCAACTCAAAGGAGAAAACTAGATTGTCATGGATGGGGACATGACCACCAATCTAAAAAGAGAGAAGCAGATGAAATTAAGGCAAAGTCCCTTTACTAAGAAGAAAAAGCAAAGCAGGAATAGCTAAAGGAGTGCTGTTCACAAATTTTGGCACTGCAAGGAATCACACAAAACAATCTTCTGATGCTGACGCTACAGGAAGTTTCATGGACAGAGCTCCCAGTGAAAGTCAAGAGCAACAAGATTGCGTTGAACATATACGAAAAAATTATTCAGCTTCAGTTGGAGTACTATGTCTAGTTCTGGGCGCTACACTGTAGGAAGGGTGTTAAAAGCGTTGCAAAGAGTGCAGAAGAGATTTACAAGAATGGTTGTATAGATGAGGAATTTTAGTTATGAAAATGGATTGCAGAGGTTGGAACTGTTTTTCTTATGGCGGGTTGAGGGGAAATCTCAAAGATGTAATCAAAATCATGTGGGATCTGGTCAAATCAGGCAGGGAAAGAATTCCTCCACTTGTGAAGCATCGGGAGTAAGTGGACATAGATTTAAAGTTACAGTAGTAAGATATAGGAGGAAAGCCTGTTTCACAAGTGGTTAAGGTCAAGAATGCACTGCCGGACAGTATGGAGGAGGCTGATTCAGTGGAAGCATTGAAAAGAGAAACAGATGGTTATTTGAAAAGGAATAACGTGAAGCGTTAGAAAGAGAAAGCGGGAGAGTGGCATTAAGTGAGCAGCTAATTCAGAGAGCTGGCACACACGGTTGGTTGAATGGATTCCTTTGCACCACAACAGTTCTATGATTCTGTAATTTTGAAATAAACAAAACACACATTGGTATCATGCTCCAACTTTGCAAGAACAATATGCACCTTTTTTAAATGAGTCACAGTCATACAGCATGGAAACAGACCCGTCGGTCCAACTCGTCCATGCCAGCCAAATTTCCCAAACAAAACTAGTCCCATTTCTCTGCATTTGGCCCATATCCCTCTTAACCTTTCCTATTCGTGTACGTATCCAAATGTCTTTTAAATGTTTTAACTGTACTTGCATCTACCACTTCATCTGGCAGTTCATTCCACATACAAACCACCCACTGAGTGAAAAAACTGCCCTTAAGATCCCTTTTAAATCTTTCTCCTCTCATCTTAAAATTATGCCGTCTGGTTTTAGCTCCCTAAACGTAGGTAAAGGGCCTTTGCTATCCAATTTATCTATACACCTCATGATTTTATAAAGCTGCTAGCCTGGTTTCCTCCACCTTCCAACTTTTCCTTCTACTTTTCAAACTTTCATTTTGCTCTTTGAAATATTTGAGCCAAGGCTGATTTGGAGATCAGTAACTGCTGTTCATATTTTATATGATGTGTACTTAAACATACTAAAAGGTGCACCACAGAGGTGTTGTTGAACAATATTTTCCACTTTGCCACCTAAAGAGATATTTGGACCGGTGACCAAAAGCTTGGCTAAGAGGAAAATGAGGATGGAAGGATAGCAATATTGATCAGGGCGTAGGCAGCTGAAGGCTTGAAGCCTTTGGTGGAGCAACAGAAATTGGGGATGTGCAAGGGGTCAGAATTTGAAGTGCATTGGGATCTCACAGTGCAACTTTTACCATGCTGTAACAAATAATCCAAAGTAAATATTTTAACCAGTTATAAATGCAACAGCATGATTCAACTGCTTAAACAAAATTATTGGTAATTTCTGACACTTACACACTCATTATTTAAATTTCAATATTTAATACTAACCAGTCGTGAGTTATTAATTCCTGTTTTGAGAGCATCATATTCTTCTCTCAGTGTATTCATTTGTGTTGTGTGGTCCCTTATCAAGGCTTCTATTTCAGCAGAATATTTAGCTTCCAGTTTGGCTATTTCTACACCATGGAGTTCTTGTAGTTGATTAAGTTCTTCAGAGTTTTGACTCACTTTTGTAACTTTGTCAAAAGAACTAATATATGAAGGTTGAAAATTAGTTTGCTCTTCTGCATTTGTGGTCAATGTTGCCCCAGTAATATCAGAAATCAATATTTTGCTTTGGACTGTGGAGTCTACCAGGCTTTTTATTGGTCTTTCTTTGGTAGCGCATTTCTGAGGAGTTTGATCTTCATATTCCAAATGGGTACCTTTCTCTTTGCGTAAGGCTTCCTTTGCAACGTTGAGGTTTTCCTGAAGATTTATTATAGCTAGTGCTTTTGCCTAAATAAAAGAAAGACATTTCAGGTTTTTAAACATACTTTTTCGGTTTGCCAATCGTCACCAGACTTCCCAGGCAATCTTCTTGATCCTGGCAACTGATCAGATTTGAAGGTACATTTTCTGAGTTATACAATATCATAACTTGAGGGGACCTGGGCGTGCATTTGTACAAATGCAGAGGATTAAAAAAAATATATACTTCTTAATTGCTAGAATAGATGCAATAAAGAAACAATCTGTAATTATGAGCAATCACTTTTTAAAAGGTTCTAGGGATAAACTTTCTCAGCTTTTAAGCGAGGTTGATAATCCTTTCCTCAAAAGCTGAATCAAACTGTATGGTTCTTAAAGTTTATCAGAACTACTCTGCGATTACAATATATATGCCAATACTGAATAGTGCATCACTGACCAAGAGATGCAAGGCAGAGATGAAAATAGCAAGAGCAAAATAATGAGAGGGGAAACAGCAAGAGAGGAGGAAATTATCCCTATTGAATACGTGAACTACATAATCTCTGGTCTTCACAGCAACGAGTACATGAACTACATAATCTTTGGTCTGCACAGCAAAGAAAAACATTAATTTTCTACCTGCAAATCTTCTTGGAGTTTCTCAGTCTGGTTTCTGTAGTTATTTAATTGTTCTTTAGTTACTTCAGCTTCAGCTTTGACCTGCTCCAGTTCCAAAACCAAGTTGGTTACTGAGGTAGTACCTTGTTGAACAGGAGTTAATAAGCATGAAACTTGCTTTTCATCAGCCTGCAAGACAAAATTATGAAGAACTATCAGCACTGTACTATGAACAGCAGAGTTTTGGATTGCGAAGTTTATTCATATTAAAAAGTTAACAATGAAATAAATCATAAGACTCAGTAATTGTAGCCTTTATTTGACCTAGTCTTCACCTAGTCTTAATAAAACTATTCTTACAGCTTATCAGGTAATTGTATGGCGTTATGAATCCTACTTAAAAATATTCTTGGTAAAGCACACCGTATAGTTAATAATTAATAATTAACAGCTTAGGTTATACTTACAATTAATGATGCTGAAATCTGTCCTCCACTGTCTTGTTCTTTTGTTTGTTCTTTCTTCCCTTCTAACATTTGATGCAACTCAATTAATTTCTCTTCTTTTTCTCTGGCTTCTTTTCGAGTAATTGAAAGCACTTTCCTTTCCAATTCAAGTTCTTTTTGGAGATCAATTAACTGCTCTTGCACCTCAGTTAACTGCTCTCTTAACTTGATTAATTCTTCTGTTTGATGCTCAATATTTATCATGTCTTGCTTCTCTAGAATTCTTTGGTTGGTATCTTCGGATTCTACAGGCCATGTCTGTGGTTTTTCTCTTCCCTCTAGTTGTTCCAAAGGTGTTTCCTTCAGTCCAATTGAAACAGTTTCTGTTTCTTTAATGTGACCCCTTTGCTGTTCAACGTGTATCCTTATTTGCTGTTGCACTGCCTTTAACTGTGCTTGGCTCACTAGAATTGTTGCTACTTTTTCCCTGACAGTCTCTTCCAGAGTGAGTACTTGGTTTTCATGTTCTTTAGTTTTCGTGTGGGCTTGATCCTTTAGGTTTTGTATTTGAAGGTAACATGAATCTAACTCTTTCTCTTTCTTTTCAATGGTTGCCTGTAACCCCTGAACTCGGAATTCCCCACTACTGATAGGATCTTGGACACGTTCGGGAAAAGTATTCTTTTTCTCTACTTGGGGTTTTATGAATTCTAATCCCTGAGATTGCAACATTCTGTTTTGTTCTACTTTCTGCTGTGACAGTATTAACTCTTCATTTAGCGTTTCCATTTGTTGCTGCAGCAGCTCTTTTTCTTCTGTCACCTTATCAAGCTGAAGTTTCAAATTTTCTGCATCTTCAGAAGGAACTAATTCCAATGGTGTTACTTTTGTCAGTTCCAGCTGCAACTTTTCTATTACTTCATTTAATTGTTCAACCTCTTCCTCGTGATACTTTTTCAGGCGTTGTTGATCACATTTTAGGAATTCTACTTGGGCTTCCAGTTCTTCATTCTTTTTCTGAGTCATCTAAAAGATAAAAAGCATTGAAACAATTATATAGAATATCTAGAATTATATAAAACCTATTTTTTAAAACATATTTTACCTTTTCTGGTTTTTTTCATCCATTTTACAAAGCTGTGAATTTCCCAAGCACTGTTAATTCTAAGTAATCTGAATTTTCTCCGTCAGTTCACATTCATATTTCGCTTGCTCTGTTCGTCCCAAGTCCATTAATTGTCTCTTTTCTCCCCATTCCATTAGGGCCCTTCCCTTCCCTCTGACTCTCAGAATACCTGTTCTCAAAATAGCAGTCCATAAGACAGAAGTAGGCCATTCAGTCCAATGAGACTGCTCCACAATCTTGGCTGATCAAATACTTCACTAACTTTTACTCCACCATTCCATAAGCCTTTACTCCATTCATAGGATTAATATTTAAAGTAAAGATTGGCAAAGACTAGGCTTTCACAGCCCTGTGAGGTACAGAATTTTAAAGATTTACTACCATCTGAGTAAACTAATTGTCTCCACATCTCGGTCCTAACTGACCATTTTTAAATGGGGGAGCATCTTGTCTGCATCTACACTTCCTTTTTTAAAATATTTTATAGGTTTCAAACAGATCACCTCTCATTCTTCAAAACTCTAGAAAATACAGGTCTAGGGCACCCAATCTCTCTTCACAGAGTAGTTCCTCCACTCCAGGAACAAGTCTGGTGAGCCTGCTTTGCTGTCTCTTTCTCTCTCTCTTTTGCAACAGTATCGTTTGCAGTAAGGAGACCAAAACACACAACATTCCAGATGAGGTTTAGCCAAGCTCCTTTACAGTTGAAGACAGACCTCACTACTCCTGTTCTCAAATTCACTTGCAATAAAGGCTAATATTTCATCAGCTTTTCTAATAATTTGCTGCACCTGTATGTTAGCCTTCAGTGATGATAAATACACCTTGGGCCCCTATGTACATCTACACTTTCCACCTTTCAAAAATTTAAGAAATACTCTGCACATCTGTTTCTTCCTTTTTTCCATATTTTATTCCATTTGTTATATTCTTGTCCAGTCATTAAGCCTGTCCAAATCTTCCTAAAGACACGTCCTCACATCACACATTTCCACTTAGTTTTCAATCATCTGCAAATTTGGAAATATGACATTTGGCCTACACCCAAATGGTATATATCTATTGTGAGAAACTGGGGCCATAAGATCATAGGATATAGAAGCAGAATTAAGTCATTCGACCCATTCTGCTCCACCATTCAATCACGGTTGATATGTTTCTCAACCCCATTCTCCTGCTTTCTCCCCATAACCCTTTAGCCCCTTGCTCATCAAAAACCTATCACTGACTTAAATACACTCAATGTCTTGGGCTTTTGTTAGAACGAGTTCCACAGATTGAACAGCCTCCAGCTGAAGAAACTCCACCATCCCCCCGCCCCCCCATCCCCACCACCGTCTCAGTTATAGAGTCATAGAGATGTACAGCACGGAAACAACCTTCAGTCCAACCTGTCCATGCCAACCAAATATCCTAAATGAATCTAGTTCCATTTCCCAGCATTTGGCTCATATTTCTCTAAACCCTTCCTATTCACGTATCCATTCAGATGCCTTTTAAATGTTTTAATTGTACCAGCCTCCACCACCCATCTCTGGCAGTTCATTCCATTGATTCACCACTCTCTACATGAAAAAGTTGCCCCTTCGGTCCCTTTTAATTCCTCCCCTCTCACCTTAAACCTATGCCCTCTAGTTTTGGACTTCCCTACCATGGGGAAAAGACTTTGACTATTCATCCTATCCATGCCCCTCATGATTTTATAAACTTCAGTAAGGTCACCCCTCAGCCTCTGATGTTTCAGGGAAAATAGCCGTAGCTCATTCAGCCTCTCCCTATAGCTCAAACCCTCCAACCCTGGCAACATCCTTGTAAATCTTTTCTGAAGCCTTTCAATTTTCACAACATCTTTCCTATAGAAGAAAGACCAGAATGGAATGCAGTATTCCAAAAGTGGCTGAACCAATGTCCTGTACATGACCTCCCAACTCCTATACTCAATGCATTGACCAATAAAAGCAACTGTACCAAATGCCTTCATCACAACCTTGTTTACCTGCGACTCCACTTTCAAGGAACTATTTTCTAAAGGGTTATCCCCTCACTTTGAGGCTGTGTACTCCGTCATAGTCTGTCCTACAGTGGAAACATCTTCCCCATGTCCACTATAAGCAGGCCCAAATACTGATCCTTGTGGTATCCCATGAGTCACAGCCTGTCAATAGGAGAATTACCTATCTATTCCTACTGACTGTTTTCTCCAATTAGCCAATCCTTAATTTATGTAAATACATTACCTCCTGTCCCATGTGCTTTAATTTTTCTAACCAACCTACTTTAGGGAGCGACCTAATCAAAAGCCTCTAAAAAACTATCCTCCAGAACCTGTGGTAGGTTCCTTTGGAGTTGTATCAAGTGACACTATGAATTCACTTGACTTACTGAAAATGCTGCTTTGAACACTGACAGATTGCATGCTTAATAGGAGAAAGTCTATCCTGTGAACAAAGGAGATTTTGTCCATTTGATCTTGCGCTGGATGTGGTCTGGTGGTTTCAAAAAACTTCACATCATGGTGGTGAACATATTGTTAGATATCTTAAGCTTTCATTTTTAACATGCCCTTCAGCTTATGGAGTTATCCTTGGGCACCTATCTTGAGCTAATGAAATGCTGCCTCTGTGATTGTGATCTAGGGTAGTTCTACCAAACAAAGAAAGTTTTTTCAGGAGGTAACATATTTGGTTATCATTTTTGTTGAATCAGCCTTTATAATGACAATGTTCAAAAGCAATTCTCTAACACAGGAGTCTAAGCCAGCTGATGTTATTTAGATGCAAATTTTCCAGATTGGTTCTGAACAGTATTTGGAATTTCTTTCTTCAATTAGGTTGTTTTAGAGTCGAGCTTTTTATCATCTTCCTCTTGGACTTTTGGGCCAAGTAACGTTTTAGTATGATATAGATGTCCACCACTGATCCAAAAAGTTGATGACCTATTCAACAGGCAACACGGATTCATAGATCAAGTGATACAGATACCTGACCCAAACCATGATATAATCCAAGGATTCCTTCACATAGGTTTGCATTTGTCCTTCTCATGGAAAAGAATATATCTTATGATGAGGTCAGATTGAGTACAGTTTATTAATGGAGATATCATTTGTATTGACTTTACTTAACTCTAATTTTCCCAATGGTTCTACATAGAGATATGTCCTTTCATGGCATTAAAGTTCCCAAAAGGGACGATTCTTTTCTTCTTTTGTGATGGCAGCACCTATGTCATCAAGGCCAGGCTAGAACATTTACCTAATATCTTTTTAGAGTCATAAGCACTTTCTTTTATTCCCTCATGGGAGGTGGGCTTCACATGAGGGGCCACTATCTATTGACCATTCCTAACTGCCCTTGAGAAAATGGTAGTGACCTGCCTTCTTGAATTCCTGCAGTCTATTTTATGTGGGTACACCAACAGTGTTGTTAGGGACAGTGTTCCAGGATTTTGACCCAGTGACAGTGAAGGGATGGTGATGTATTTAAAAATCAGAATGGTGAATGTCTTGGAGAGAAACTTGCAAGTCACAGTGTTCCCACTTACCTGTTGCCTTTGTCCTTTTAGATGATAGTGGTCATGGGTTATAAAAGGTGCTGTCTAATGAGCCTTGGTGAACTTCTGCAGTGTATCTTGCAAATACACACTGCTGCTACTCTGCATCAGTGGTGGAGGGAGTGACTGTTTGTGGATGGTGCCAATCAAATGGACTGCTTTGTCCTTAACGGTAAACGTTTTTAGTGTTGCATGCATCCAGATAAGTGGGAAGTTTTCCATCACACTCCTGACTTGTATCTTGTAGGTGATAGACAGACTTTGGGTAGTCAGGAGTGAGTTATCTTGATATTAGGGATTCAGATATGCTAATGCCAATGAATTTCAAGAAACAATGGTAAGATTTTTTCTCCTTGCAGATGGTCACACTCTGGCACTTACGTCACACAAACATTACTTGTCAGTTGTCACCCCAAGTCATGCTGCTTTTGGGCATGGACTTCTTTCAGTATCTAAGGAGTCATAAATGGTTCTGAACATTGCACAATCATCAGCGAACATCCCCACTTCTGACTTTATGATGATGTGAAGTCATTGATGAAATGGTTGAAGGCATTGGACACTACCCTGAGGAACTCCCACAGAGATACCCTGCAGCGGAGATGATTGACTAACAAGCATAACCCTCCTCCTTTGTGCTAAGTATAACTGTAAATAGTGGCAGGGGTAGTAGGAACTCCAGATGCTGGAGAATCTGAGATAACAAGGTGTAGAGCTGGATGAACACAGCAGGACAAGCAGCATCAGAGGAGCAGGAAAGCTGACGTTTCGGGCCTAGACCCTTCTTCAGAAATGAAAAGTCTGATATAGCTGGAATCTTTTGAGCACTGGAGGTAGGAAGAGAAGCCATTACTGCAGGTGAAATGGACACTGTGCAATAGATAACTTCCTACCCCATCCCGAAACCCACATCTCAAAACAATGCACTGAAATGCCCAAATCACATTTGCAAATATCTTTACCACAATGCTTCGTTCACCTTGATCACTGGACAAACTTTTGACATAGTCTGCTACACCATCCTCTTCCAACACCACTCCTATGCTGTCCAACTCACTGGAGTGGCCCTCACATGGTTTTGCTATTATCTATTGCACAGTGTCCATTTCACCTGCAGTAATGGCTTCTCTTCCTGCCTCCAACAGTGCTCAAAAGATTCCAGCTATATCAGACTTTTCATTGATATGCTGCCCTCTGATGACAAGTGTGTGGAGTAATGAATGATTTCAAAATGAAATTAGTTACAAAATTGAGGGAAATAAACTTGCAAGGTCACAGGGAAAAAGGGCTATGACAAACTGGATTGTTTTCCAAGTAACTGGAATGGACTCAATGAGTTGAATAGCCTTGTTTTACACCATCATGACTCTATGCTCGTGGAGCCCATCCTTTGCACTAAAGAACAAGGTTGAAGCATTTGAAACCATGAAATGCAGAGTGAATGATACATTTCAGATTCCTCCTGAGGTCTCTTGTCCTCAGTCAATTCCATTAATTCCACCTGACACCATGAAACAGCTGCACGCACTGGATGCTGTGGCTACGGGCTGGATGGCATCCTTTTGGTCCCAGCAACCCACCCCTGAAGCTAAGCTTTTCCAGTAATTACAACAATGGCATCTACCCGACAAAATGGAAAATTGCCCATATATTTCCGATCCATAAAAACTAATACTAATCCAATATTGCCAAATACTGTCCCATCAATCTACTTTCAATGATCAGCAAATTAATAGGAGGAATTGATGACAGTGCTATCAAACAACATTCACTCAGCAATTACCTTCTCAAGCATTACTGAAAAAAGGCACATTTTGTCAAAACCTTTCACCGTACACTCATCAAGACAAAAAGATTTGTGTCTTTTTTCAGCAATAACCTTCTCACTGATGCTCAGTTTGGCATTCCACAAGGGCAATTTGAGTTCAGGCCTCCCAACTGCCTTGGTCCAATCATGAACAAAAACTAAATTGCCTTTGACAAAAAGGCAACATTTGACAGTGTGCAATTTAAAAAACAATGAATCCAATGGGAATCAGGGAAAGCTATCCACTAGTTGGAATCTTGTCTAGCACAAAGACAGGTGTCTTGGTCACTGGGGATAATCATCTTAGTCACAGGATATCTGTGCAGGAGCTGCTCAGAATATTGTCCCAGGCCTAGCAACCTTCATTGCTCCAAAGTCCTTCCCTCTGTCATTAACTTAGTGATGGGAATGTTTGGTGATGATTGAGTTCTATTTGCAACTCCTCGCATAATGAAGCGGTTTATACTCACATGCAGAAATATCTGCACAACATTCACGCTTGGACTGAAAAATGGCAAGTAACATCTGAGGCACTTAAGTGCTGGGTAATAGCCGTTTTCAACAAGGAAATATCTATTCACACCTCAACGTCCAATGCATTAACATTGCTAAATCACCTATTCTCAACATTGACTGGAAACTTAACAGGATCAAACATGGAAACTAGAGTAGATCAAAGGCTGTATTATTTGAAGGGAAATTTCTGACTTTCCAAAGCCTACCCACAATCTAGAAGGCTCAAGTCAGGAGAATAATGGAATATTCTTCACTTGCCTCCAGCTCCAGCCACACTCAAGAAGGTCCAGGACAAAGCACTGTACTTGTTTATTACCTCATCCACCACCTTAAACGTTTTCTTCTCCACAATATTCCTGAAGGATTTACATTCCACAAGATGCTTAGCAGCAACCAAGGATTGTTTGACAGCACCTTTAAAACTTATCATATTTTTACCATTTTTAAAAGATGAGGGCAGGATAATAGGAACATTACCATTTCCAATTTCCCTTCCAAGTCACCCATGATTCTTGACTTGCAAATCAATGATCATGCCTTTGTCTGACCGGGTCAAAATCCTGAAATTTTCTACTTAACTACTGTGGAGGTACATTCACTCCACTTATTGCAATAGCTCAAGGAAGCAGCTCATCACCAACCTCTTAAGGGCAATTACTGATGAACAATATTGCTGGCCTTTTCGCTGAACTTCCTACAATCTTATAACCACCCAAGACCTTGCATGTCTCTGACATGGTCTTCTGCTCATCCTCACTCTTCACACAAGCATCATCAGCTTGCCTGGAGTGGGGATGCCAGTGACCAGCACATCCAGAGGGGGAAAGCCAGCAGCTAGTAATCCGGAGCAGGGAAGCCAGCAACCAGCGCGCCCGAGCAGGGCAACCAGCATGCCCAGTGTGGGGACACCAGCAACTAGCTGCCTGGTGCAGAGCGAGACAGCAGCCAGCACTCAGACCATGTTGAGGCCTCCTGCGCTGGTCTGCTGCTGACAGCCCTTTGAGAGAGACTGTAATATTTGTCTTTTTAACTTTGCTTCTTATTTCTCTAACCTATGGTTAACCTGTGTATAGTTGTAAAATTTTTTCTTCATTTCTCTATTCTATAACAAAGGATTGTACCTAGGATGGCGCCTTGTGTTGTTGACATCGTTACATTGTAACTAATCTTGTAACTGAAGAAGTTGTATCTAGGTGCCGTTGTACCTAAGACGGCACTGAAAGTCTTTTTTTTATTCATTCATGGGATGAGGGTGTCGCTGGCTAGGCAGCATTTATTGCCCATCCCTAATTGTCCAGAGGGTAGTTAAGAGTCAACCACATTGCTGTGGGTCTGGAGTCACATGTAGGCCAGACCAGGTAAGGATGGCAGTTTACTTCCCTAAAGGGCATTAGCAAACCAGATGGGTTTTTCCAACAATCAATTATGGTTTCATGGTCATCATTAGATTCTTAATTCCAGATATTTATTTAATTCAAATTCCACTATCTGCTGTGGCGGGATTTGAACCTGAATCCCCAGAACGTTATTTGGGTCTCTGGATTAACAGTCCAGCGCTAATACCACAAGGCCATCACCTCCCCTGAAGCCGCTTATAGACTTTTCACTACTTATTTCCATACATGTAACAATAAAGCCAATTCAATTTAATTCTATTCATCGTTGGCCACCACGCTGGAATTTGCTCCCTTAAAGCAGTGTTTGGTCATTTGTTGATGATATTGATTTAGGTAGTATTTAGAGTCATAGAATCATATAGCAGATGAACAGGCCCTTCAGCCCATTCTGTCTACACTGTCCAAAAAACACAAAACTACACTAATGCCATTTACCTGCACTTGTTCCATAGCCTCCTATGCCCTGGTATTATAAGTGGTCTTATCCAGCTGCTTCTTAAATATTACAAGAGTATCTGCCTCCACAATACTCTCAGGCAGCGTGTTCCATATTTTTATTTTTCCTCAGATCTCCTCTAAACAACTTACGCCTCACCTTAAACTTGGGGTGTCTGGTCTTGTATTTTATTTGGTCCAATCATCACTTGTATCAGTTACCCCTCAGTACTCATTTAGACACAAGGGAAGGTACGACAAACCATCATATGCTGTCTATGCATAGCTAAAATTTGTAGGACTTAAAAGAAAGCAGAATATTTTAAAGAACTCTTCCTAATTGCTCAGCCTCAATTTAAAATGCAGGAAGTAATTGGCTCAGAGGGCGACAGGAAGAGAAATACAAAAATCGCTGGTTTGAAATCCTTACATATCTGTTTATCTTCAACATATATTGTAGAAATAGCTCATATCCAGTGATGCTATTAATTTGATTTTACTGACCTTCTTGTCAGAAGGGAGTTCAAGTTGCTGTTCCAACTTTATAATTTGTTCACTGAGTTTTTCTATTTCTTGATCTCTTTCCTTTAGGGTTTGAGTCAAATTCCCAACAAATAAGCAATGATCGTCAGATGATTGCAAGCTGTCCACCTCATCCTGCCATGTGAAGGATACAACACAGGTTTAAAACACTAGTGGTTAAGGATTTGTAAAAAAATATCTTACTGCAACACAGTTACAACACCTACAAAAGCTGCATTGTTCTCAACATCTAGATTTACTGTCAGGCAACATATGCGGAAGAAAAAGTTTCTATTCATATAGAAAAATTAAGTCAAAGAAGTAGTCCCACTCATTCCATACAAAATAACTCCTTAATACTCAAAATTAAAGATACAACATTAAAACTTGAGACATAATTGCAGTCATCAAAGCAAACTTACACAGTTACAACTGGACAGGGCAAACCTTTAGAAATTTTTTGATACATCTATGAGAGTAGCAGAGAGAGCTTCTATGTTTGCAACAGTCTGTTCTAACGGAAGGCTTATCTAGCCAATAATGAACATTCATGTGGTGCTGTGGACCACCAGTAACAGCATTTGTTTCAACCACAATCTGTAACCTCATTATACAGAATATGGCCCATCCTAACACCAACAAGACTGTGGGCATTACCTTGGTACAATTAAATGAGGACATGATGGCGTAATGGTATTATTGCTGGACTGTTAATCCAGAGACCCAGATAATGTTCTGGGACTTGGGTTCAAATCCTGCCATGGCAGATGATGGAATTTGAACTCAATTAAAAAAAAAATGGAATAAGAATCTAATAATGATCATGAAACCATTGTTAATTGTCGGATAAACCCATCTGGTTCACTAATGTCCTTTAAGGAAGGAAATTGCCATCCTTACCTGGTCTGGCCTACATGTGAATCCAGACCAACAGCAATGTAGTTGACTCTTCCCTAATGCCCAGAGGGCAGTTATGGGCAATAAACAATGGCCTAGCCAGTGATGCCCTCATCCCATGAATGGGACAGCATGCCAAGAGCAATATCAATCCTACCTAAAAAATGACATGCCAACCCATTCAAGTTACAACACAGTGGTAGCAGCATGCAATGGACAAGGCAAAGCAATCCAACAATTGAAGGATATGATCTGCACTCTGCAGTCCTGCCATGTTCAGTTGTGGATGGTGATAGACAATTAAACAACCAGCAGCAACTGGAGGCTCCACAAATTCTCTCAATCATCAAGGATGGGGAGCCTGGTACATCAGTGCAAAAGGCAAGGCTTAATGAAGTATTTACGTCAACTTCAGTCAGAAGTACCATGTGCATCATCCAACTCGGCCTCCTCCTGAGGTTTCCAGCATCACAGATGTCAGTCTTCAACAAATTGGATTCACTCCATGTTATACCAAGAAACAGTTGAAGGCAATGAATACTACAAAGGCTACGAGGTCTGACAACGTAACAACAACAGTACTAAAGAGTTGTGCTTCAGTACTAGCCAAAACCAAAGCTAACCTATTACAGTAAAGCTACAACACTGACATCTACCTGACAATATAGAAGCTTCATTGAATCATAGAATCCCTACAATGTGGAAGCAGGCCATTCAGCCTACCAAGTCCATACTGACCCATTGAACAGCATCCCACTGAAACCCATCTTCCCTACCCTATCCTGTAACCCTGCATTGCCCATGGTTAATCTACCTAGCCTGCAGATCCCTAGACATAATGGACAAGTTAGCATGGCCAAACAACCTAACCTGCTCATTTTTGGACTGGAGGAGGAAACTGGAGCACCCAGAGGAAACCCACACAGACAGGGGGTGAAACGTGCGAACTCCACACAATCACCCAAGGGTGGAATTGACTCCAGATTACTTTTGTGTCTTAAAGTGAAATCCAGAAGTCTTCTATAAATGTATAAATAAAGAAATATTAAGAGGAGAGATAGCACCAATTAATGGTCAGGCAGGTGATCCATGCATAGAGAGGCAGGGCAAGGCTGAGGAAATTATATGACTATTTTGCAACTGTTTTTAACAAGGAAAATAACATTGCCTAAGTCATAGTGAATGAGAAGGCCATTTAGATGCTAGATGGGTTAAAAACTGATAAGTATTAGAAACACTGGCTGCACTTTAAGACTGATAAATCATCAGTATCAGATGGGATGGTTTCAAGATGCTAATGGAACTAAGGGCACAAATTGTGGGGGTACTGCCCATTTTCTTCCAACTTTCCTCAGAAACTGAAGAGATGCCAGAGCACAGGTGAATTACAAATGTTACTGGCATAAAGATAAGCTCAGCAATGATGTAAGGGCATTCAGAAGCAATGATGAGACAAAATTAACTGGCATGTGATGAATGGTGGATTAAAAACAAAAGCGAGCACAAATTTGTTAAAGGCAAATAACCTGACTGAGCTTTTTCATGAGGTGACAGAAAGGGTTGATGCAGTGTAAGCACACAAAAGGCACTTGATAAAATCTTACATAATAGCTTATAAACAAATTTGAGGTCCATTGTAGAAGAGGGACAATGGTGACAATGAGGGTTTGCTGAGTGACACAAAACAGTAAACATTTTGCCTTTCAGACTGGAGGAAGCTTTGTGGCAATGCTCCCCAGGTATGAGTAGTAAGGCCATTGCTTTACTTCATAAATATTAATGACTTAGAGTGCAGTACAGAGCACAATTGCCAAATACATGGAAAACATAAAACATGAAAAGATTGTGAATTGTTAGGGGACGAGTATTGTATACAGCAAAATGTACATGAATTCAGTCAACTTCATATTAATAAATCTCCAGTAAATAAAAAGGAAAAATCTGAACAAGATGGAACCTGAAATTATAAAAAAAAATGCTTGAACTACACAGATGCCCACCTCTGCGTTTATACAGCAAAATAGGAAAGCAGTAGGCCATTCAGCCCCTCAAACTTGTTCCACCATTCAATGAGATCATGGCTGATCTGTGGCCCAATTCCATCTATCTGCATATGGCCCCTATCCCTCAATACAATGCCTTCACTACATGAACATCTTCCAAAGTACTTCAGAGGTATAAAAAAAATTACATCAAACAAGCAGAAATTGGAAAGCCAAGATAAAACTCAAGAGATGGGTTTTAAAGAGGATCTTAAAACAAGAACAAAGAAATTTAGTGTGCATCTTTCAAAGAATGGGTCTCAGGCAATAACAAGGGGAGGACAGACTGAAGAGGGATGGCTATGCACAAGAGATCAGTGAGAATGATTAATAGTTTTGGGGCCAGGGAGACTACAGAATTAGGGCTAAATGAGGCCATGAGCATGTTAAACAAAAAATTGTAGACTTACATATAAGACTTTGGCAAACAAGAATCCAACAATGATCTGAGAGGTCAGGGGTGAATCAGGTAAGATGCAGATGAGCATATTTTTGAATTTGCATAAAAGAGGAGGAGGAAGCAAAATAACAACTCGACTGTGCGAGGAATGAGTAGAAAGCAGTTAATAGAGATGCTCAAAACACAACTAAATAACTGAAAATTAATCAAGTAAGGTAGTCCACATAATTTTTTAAAAATATTCATTCATGCAATGAGTGTGTCGCTGGCTAGGCCAGCATTTACTGTCCATCCCTAATTGCCCAGTCAACCACATTGCTGTGGGTCTGGAGTCACATGTATGGCACCAATATCACAAAGAGGCTGCTTCACCCTCCAACAGTTGCCAGGGAGAGGGATAGTTACTCAGTTAATGATGGTAATCTCAGATAATGGCTTTAGTTTTTCTAACGTTTTTGGTGGAAATTTCTGCTCATGCAGCACTGTATGTCAAATAAGCAGTCTGACAATTTAGAGACAATGAGGTAGTGAAGAAAAGTGGTGATAAGTAGAGCTGGGTGTTGTCAGTGTCCAGGTGGAAGTGTGTTTTTGGATGATGTCACACCAGGGGACATGTAAATAAGAACAGAAGGGAGAACAAGGGTACATGGGAGACCAGAGGTAAATGTGAAGGAATAGCGATCTCTGATTAAATGAGTAGAACCAGATGAGTGGAGAGCTACCAGAAGGAGATGTTGTGATTAAGTGTGCAAAAACTGCAAGGAAGTCGAGGAGGAGGAGTGACAGATTTCCTGATCAATTCACGTAAGAGATCATTTATGTCTTTGGTAAAAACACTGCGGTTGTGGCAGAAACCTGATTGGAAGGGTTCAAACTTAGTGTCCCAGGAGTTTTGGGTAATAATTTGGAACGCAACGTATGTTCAAAGACTTCAGAAGAAAGAAGTAGAGATGAGATGTTAACTCTCAGAGATGAAGGGGTAAAGTAGACATATTATTATCTCCTGAAGTATAAGGATAAGTATGAACACAAAAAGAGGCTGTAATAATATTTCAGGCAGACCAAAGTCTGAAGTTGGACTTAAAAATATTCTGAAAAGTTGCTGACTGGTAACGGTGAATTTAAGACTAATTTATTTAAAGTAATGCATTGTCAAATAACTTATTACAGTTGAATGCTTTTTTAAGGGTTAGAACAGATTGGACCCTGAACTAATTAATGCAAGCAACAACCTTACCTCAAGTCGCTTGTTTTCATGTTGAATCTCTTGCAACTGGGTGGCAGCTTCTTTCTTCTGAATTTCTAACTGCATAAGCAACTGCTGAACTTCTTCATTCTTATTTAATAGCTCTTCCCTAAACTGCTCCAACTGTTCTTCCAGGTTTGCAATCTGTAATCAAACAAAATCCAATCCCAGAATTTAATCAACTAATTCAAAACTCTGGATAATGTTGTGGGGACATTAGTTCAGATTTCAACATGGCAAATAGAGAAATTTAAACTCAATAAAATTTGGAATTTAGAAAAAACAAGCTAGTCTAATGGCAATCATCTAATCAATGTTGATTGTTGTAAAAACCCAATGCCCTTTAGAAAAGGAAACCTGCCATTAAATAATGGAATCCACAGACGAATGGCTGTGGACAAGTGATTTGTGATACCCTAGTTATGTCTTATGCAGTGACTTCTTTTTAAAATGATGACTCCATGTCCGCTTTCTAAATATGGATGGTCTTGATTTTACAGTCACCTGAAATATTTTTTTAAATTAATTCACATATTCAGATGGGCCAGCATTTATTGTCTATCCATGTTTACCCTTGATAGCTGTTGGCGAACTGCCTTACTGAATCACTGCAATCCATGAAGTTAGAAAACGAATTACAGGCTTTTGATCCAGCATGAGTGAAGCAACAGTGATACAGTTCCAAGTCTGGATGGTGAAATAAGTTGGAGAGGAACTTACAGATACTCTGCTGACCTTGTTCGTCGAGGTGGAAGTGATCACATTTTTGGAAGGTAGTGTTGAACATGCCTTGGTGACTGGCTGCAGTGCACAATGCAACACTCTACTTTGGTGGTGGAAGGAGTGAATGTTGAAGTTGGTGTGAGCTACATCAATCAAGCAGGCTGCTTTGTCTTGCGTATGGAGGCATTCATTGCAGAATGCCTAGCCTTTGAACTACTTTTGTAGCCACAGTATGCAAATAGCTGTTCCAGTTCAGTTTCTGTTTGACGGCAATGCCCCAGGATGCTGGTAATGGGGAATTCAGTGATGGCATGCCACTGAATGCCAAGGCGCAGTGGTTAGATTATCTCTTCTTAGAGATGGTCATTGCCCAGTACTTTTGTGGTGTGAGCATTACTTGTTAATTATTAGCTCAAGTCTGAATGTTGTGCAGGTTTTGTTGCATATGGATATGGATTTCTTCTATATCCAAGTTGTGAGTGCTGCTGAACATTGTGGAATTGCCACCGAACATCATCGTTCTGACCTTCCTCCCACCCTAAGGTCATTGAAGAAGCAGCTGAAGATGGCTGGGTCTAGGAAACTATAATTAAGAATTCTTCTAGTGATTTCATGACTGAGATGAATGACTCCAACAACCACAGTCATTTTCCTTTGTAGGTAAGGCACTATCCAGTGGAAAACTTTCCCGGATTCCTACTGAGGTCACTTTTGTTGGTGAGTCATGATGCTACAGAGTGTGGCCCCCACCCCGCCCAAATTTGTCAGATTACATTAAGAATACATCTCAAAGTGTGGATTAAAACCCGGAAAAGGATTTTAACAGTACCCAGAACAATGAAACTACATTAGACAAAGAACCAGAGAAAAGCAAAATGGGTTGACGCATATTTGCTGCTATGGACATTATAGGGAAAACACTTATTAAGTATTCAACAAGACAGATCCTTCCGTACATCATTACTGCAATACTCTTCTGAAGGTAGATCCATATTAGATTAAGATTTTTGATTCACTGTTGATCTTTACAAGTCTAGAATTGCACTTGGTAGTAACGTGCAAAGAAAAGCACAAGGATGGCAGTGACATTTTCCCTTTTTTAAATTCTGAATTTCCATGATCTTATGCTTCCTCTTCCGTTGCAACTCTGGCAAATTTCTTTGAAACAATCTCTCTTCCTCCATAATGAGAAGGTACAGAAAAGAATAGTCATGTCCTCAATTTTGCACCTCCCTACACTAATGTAATTAATAGAACATAGAACAGTACAGCACAGTAAAGGCCCTTCTGCCCACGATGTTGTGCTGACCTATTATCCTACTAAAATCAATCTACCCTGCATACCCTACATTTTACTATCCTCCATGTGCCTATCCAAGAGTCATTTAAAAGTCTCTGAAGTATCTGACTCCACTACCACTGCCAGCAGTGCATTCCACACACCCACCAATCTCTGTGTGCAGAACCTACCTCTGACATCTCCCTTATACCTTCCTCCAATCGCCTTAAAATGATGTCCCCTTGTAATAGTCATTTCTGCCCTTGGAAAAAGTCTCTGACTATCCACTCTATTTATGCCTTTCATCATCTTGTAAACCTCTATCAAGTCACCTCTCATCCTTCTTCGCTCCAGTGAAAAAAGCCCAGGCTCCCTCAACCTTTCCTCATAAGACATGCCCTCCATTTCAGGCAGCATCTCTAAAGCTTCCACATCTTTCCTATAATGAGGTGACCAATATTCCAAGTGTGGTCCAACCAGAGTTTTATAGAGCTGCAGCATAACCTCATGGCTCTTAAACTCAATTCCCCTGCCAATGAAAGCCAACACACCATATGTCTTCTTTACAACCCTATCAACTTGGGTAGCAACTTTGAGGGATCTTAAAGGACCCCAAGATCCCTTTGTTCCTCCACACTGCCGACAATCCTGCCATTAACCCTGTATTCTGCATTCAAATTCGAACTTCGAAAATGAATCACTTGACACTTTCCTGGGTTGAATTCCATCTGCCACTTCTTTGCCCAGCTCTGCATCCTGTCAATGTCCCACTGCAACCTACAACAGCCCTCCACACTGTCCACAACTCCACCAACCTTCATGTCATTGGCAAACTTACTAACCCACCCTTCCACTTCCTCATCCAAGTTATTTATAAAGATCACAAAGAGCAGAGGTCCCAGAACAGATCCCTGCGGCACACCACTGGTCACTGAGCTCCAGGCTGAATACTTTCCATCTACTACCACCCTCTGTCTTCTATTGGACAGCCAGTTTTGTATCCAGACAGCCAAATTTCCCTGAATCCTATGCCTCCTTAATATCATGCTTTACTCAATTTCCTCATTCTACTGAAAAATTGTCTCATTTTGATAAATTTCAGAACAGAAGCCGAGTTGAGCAGAATTCAACAGCAAACACACAGACAGACACAGACACAGACACAGAAGTTGCTGGAAAAACTCAGCAGGTCTGGCAGCATCTGTGAAGAAAAGATCAGAGTTAACGTTTCGGGTCTGGTGACCCTTCCTCAGAAATCAAACCTGCATCAATGCCAACCACCAAGCCAACAGATGTGCAAGAAAAACAAAACACAGAAAAGTGTAGAAATAAAAAATCAAGCTGAAGAATGCAAAATAAGTAAATTTACTTTTGAGAGAGAAAATAGAGTTAGATAACATGCCAATGCATCAAGTTTCCTATCATGTGGCAGATTCAAGGACAATGAAAAGAAGAAATTGCTGGAAATACTTAGCAAGTCAGGGGAATATATGTGGAGACAGATACAATATTACTATCACTTAACATCACTTCCAACAAAGAGAGGTATTCTAATTATAAAAGTCTGGCTTAAAATGTCACACCAATACAATTTTCAAAGAAAGTTTTAAAAATGAGTTTATACCTCCTTCTCCTTTCGCTCTAAAGCATCACGCTCTGCTTGCAGCTGTATCTGAAGCATATTGTCTCCTTGGATTTCTAAGGCAAAGTGTGAATTTCTTTCTTCATTCTTCTTAATTGTAACAGGAGATTAGAAAATATCTGGTTATGAAAGACTAGTGACAATTGCACTGTATAATAACACGGCAACAGCTATCATTTTCAGCCCAAAACCTAGAGTGCATCTATGTCACCTACCAATAGTATTTCCTTGGTGTATTTCATATAAGTCTCCAAATTTTTAAACAGGTCAAGAACCTCCCAATTTTTATTCTGGAAATCATAAATTCATTCACAGGCTCAATATATTTTTAATTTTAAAAAGTCTCTTTGATTTTACTTCCACAATTTGCAAACTTGACCACTTGAAACTACAATTCTGTTTACAGCAAAGTGTCTTTCTTGGATCCAATTTGTCCAAACCTTTCATAAAGTTAAATACTATGTCCATATATACTTTACATCTAGCTCAGCAGCCAAAATGATTACCTTTTCCAAAGGATAAGTGGTACTGATCAATGCATATTCCAGTTCTCTAACTCGGTTTTCCATTTTTTCAATTTCTTCATTTCGTTCTTGTACATCTCTCTGAAGTTGTTCTTTGGCAAGCAGAAGTTCACTACACCGGTCAGTCTTATCTTTCAATTGATCTGCAAGACTTTCCATCTACGAGAAACATGAAGCCAAATTGTTAGCTCATTATCTTTGGTAAAGGTAAAACAATGATAAGGGAAAAAATTCAGTCATGTATTTCAGAAGGCTCTAATTTAAATCAGTGGTGAATTGCTTCTAAAAATTTACAAAGGTTCCTTGGAAAAAAACAAAATAAGTAGAAAGATCACAATGTTTAAAAAGTGACCCAATAATTAAGTTTTTGATCCAGAATTTTCTGCAACTATATGATTTACGTTGTGAATTAAATAATTTCCTGCTATTCTTACAATTGTAAACTTGTTCTAAACCTTCCCGGACAAAATACTCTAATATTACAGATCAAAAATAAAGGTGCACACAAAGTGGCACAGCCAACAGCTTATAATATCACCATCAATTAAACAGATAAATGTTGCATGATCTGAGCCAGAGTGTTCTGAATTCCAAAGCCTTTCACTATGCTGAATTTGATCACTTGCCGCAAACAGTTGAGTTATAGACTCATGCAGTTACTGATCTGCAGTTATAAGATGACATTAGCAACTTCCAAGTGTGAAATCAAACAAACGGGAAGGCAGGATGGTGCGATTTGGAAATAGTGGAAAGGTAGATCATTCTGCTTCCTTTTTGGGCACAATCACATAGAATCAAAGAATCCCTACAGTGTGTAAACAAGCCCAACAAGTCTACACTGATCCTCACAGCATCCCACCCTGACCTATCTCCCTAATCTACACATCTCTGAACACAATTTAGCATGGCCAACCTATCTAACCTACACATCTTTGGGCTGTGGGAGGAAACTGGAGCACCCGGAGGAAACCTACGCAGATACGAGGGAAATGTGCAAACTCCACACAGACACAGTCACCCAAGGGTGGAATTGAACCTGGGTTCCTGGTACTGTGAGGCAGCAAGAGCTAATCACTGAGCCACCATGCTGCCCTTGAGCAAAAAATCCAATTTTGAGACAGAGCTAACTGAAATTGCAGGAGCGTTTGAAAGTGGGAGCCACACAGACACAGAAAGCCAGAAACAGAGAGTGCTACTGTTTATCATTAATACTTTAAAAACACTCGTTACTACTGCAATTCACAAGAATTGTCAAAACAGATATTCAGACTTTGATCATCATTGTTATATTTTATGTTTACATTAGGATATGAACTTGGTGCAATATTCAATATTAAATTAGAAATATGATTTGCATGTTTTTATTTATTATACAGAATTTAAATTTGGTGGTGAGGCACATTCTTGACAAATGTATGGTTTACTAGGCCATTTCAGCTGTTAAGAGTCAACCACACTAGTGGCTACATTATTTGAAACTTTAAAGATGTAAACCAAATTGATGTAAAAAATAATCAATGGTGCTCAGTTTTCTTAGTTTTGGCATGAACGTGGATGTTATTTTGTGAGGGGTGGGGAATAAGAGAACATTAATCACATTAGGAGTAATATATTGGAGATTTCTTGATAAATGTGATGTAGATCGAACGTGTATTTTTAATTTTATTTTATTCATTTGTGGGATGTGGACATTGCTGGTTGGCTAGCATTTATTGCCCATCCCTAGTTGCCCTTGAGAAAGTGGTGGTGAGCTGCCTTCTTGAACTGCTGCAATCCACAATGCCATTAGGGAGAGAATTCCAGGATTTTGACTCAGAGTCAGTGGAGAAAAGGTGATATATTTCCAAGTCAAGATGATGAGTGGCTTGGAGGGGAAATTGCAGGTGGTAGTGTTCCCAAATATCTGTTGCCCTTGTCCTTCTAGACAGAAATGGTTGTGGGTTTGGAAGGTGCTGTCTGAGGATATTTGGTAAATTTCTGCAGTGCATCTTGTAGGCAGTACATACTGTTGTTACTGAGTGTTGTTGGTGGAGGGAGTGGACACTTGTGGATGTAGTGTCAATCAAGCAGGCTGCTTTGCCCTGGATGGTGTCAAGCTTCTTGCCTGTTGATGCAGTTGCACCAATCTAGGCAAGTGGGGAGTGCTCCATCACACAACTAACTTGTGCCTTGTTGATGGTGGACAGGCTTTGGGGAGTCAGGAAGCATGTTACTTGCCGCAGTATTCCTAGTCTCTGATCTGCTCTTGTAGCCACTTGGTTTTACCTAGCAAAATACCTCTCTATTTCTTTGATCAGTGATAGGCTGGACCCTCTGTGGAGTTTTCAGTTGTTGCTCTAATTTAAGTATCTCTTGCTGAAACACGTCTCTCTCCTGCTCACGGTCTACTGCCTGTTCCTGTATGGAAAAACAACAATGCACTCATAACAATTTTCAGCATTTCTGTACGCATTTAATCAAATAATCCACTCAAATAAACATTTCTGTTGCATTATATCACCCAAATTGACATACAACTTTCACTACATAACAGATCATTGTGCGCTACTCATTTAAGATTTCATTGATTATACAATCAAAAAATATATTTATTTCTGTACTAAATAGATCAGTGGCATTAAGGAGTCTTAATGTATTTGCATGTATTAATATGCATGTGAATGAAGTGAAAAGGGAATAGTCAGAGCACTGCTGAAATGGATGAAAACAGAATATAGGAAATTAACATGCGTATTGACTTGATAGTTAATGTACTGTCAACTTAGTATAATTTTTGCATTTGTTACTTCACAAAAAATATTATCAGGAATAGTCAAAAGACAAGATTTTGCAGTAATGCACTTCTAAAGTCATACTACCAAACTTTAAGTGCACAGCAAACATCGCTGTAAGTTGCAACTTTCTCCACGCTGAACCAAGGTTACAAATAGTAAATTTGTGATGGACAAGGAGTCAAAACATTCACTATGCTGCAAACAAAGTATTGTCAATAAACCGGGGCTAATTTCCCTCCATCAATCTGCTTTATGGAAAGCAATAAAAACTGAAAGAACTGCAGATGCCGTAAATCAGGAACAAAAACAGAAGTTGCTGGAAATGCTCAGCAGGTCTGGCAGCATCTGTGAACAAAAAATCAGAGTTAACGTTTCGGGTCCGGTGACCCTTCTTCAGAACTGAGGAAGGGTCACCGGACCCGAAACATTAACTCTGATTTTTTGTTCACAGATGCTGCCAGTGAAGATGAACCATTTTCAACTGGATTTGTCTCATTCTTTGAGGTTACTATACCAGGTACAAATGAATATTTCAAAGCTGAATGAGAGAATTAATTAAGATAATCTTTGTGGAAGCTTCATAAGTCAACTAATATTTCCCAATGAACAATGCACAAGATCTTACACTTTTGATAAAGAGGCAGAATAATATTGAATAGATTGAGCATATCCAATAGCACAAAGAGGTCAACAAATTCAGGAGATAGATATACCTTGGAAGCAGGACTGAGGGACTTTTCTGTTTATAAAATGAGTTGTAAGAATGATGAACCACATAATTAATTGGATACAACATTGGTTTGATGGTAGGAGACAGAGGGTGGTGGTGGAGGTCTGTGACCAGTTGAATGTCACAAGGATCGGTGCTGGGTCCACAGCTTTTTGTTATTTATGTAAATGATTTGAAGGTGAGTATGGCAGTTTTGGTTTAGTAAGTTTGCACATAACACCAAAATTGGTGGTGTAGTGGACAGTGAAGAAGGTTATCTCAGTGTACAACAGGACCTTGATCAGATGAGCCAATAGGCTGAGTGGCGGCAAATGGTGTTTAATTTAGACAAGTGTGAGGTGTTACATTTTGGTAAGACCAATCAAGGCAGGACCTATAAAGTTAATGGTCAGGCCCTGGGGAGTTTTGCCAAACAAGAGACCTAGGGGTGCAGGTGCATTGTTGCTTGAAAATGGAGTCACAAGTAGACAAGTTGGTGAAGAAGGCATTTGACATGCTTGCCTTCATTGGTCAGTGCATTAAGTATAGGAGTTGGGATGTCACGTTGCTATACAGAACATTAATGAGACCACTTTTAGAATACTGTATTCAGTTCTGGTCTCCCTGCTATAGGAAAGCTGTTGTTAAACTTGAACGAGTTCAGAAAACAGTTACAAGGATATTGCCAAGGTTGAAGGGTTTGAGTTATGGGGAGAAGCCGAATTATCTGGGACAGTGTCCCCTGGACCATTAGAGGCTGAGGGGTGACTTTATATAGGTTTATAAAATCATGAGGTGCATAGATAGAGTGAATTGCCAGGGTTTTTTCCTCAATGTAAGGGAGTCCAAAACTAGCTGGCATAGGTTTAAGGTGGGAAAGGAAAGATTTAAAAGGAACCTAAGGGGCAACATTTTCACACAGACAGTTGTGTGTGTATGGAATGAGCTGCCAGAGGTGGTGATGGAGGTACAATTACAACATTTAAAAGGGTACATGAATAGGAAGGATTTAGAGGGATACGGGCCAAATGCTGACACGTGGGATTAGATTAATTTAAGATACATGAACGGCATGGACAAGTTGGACTGATGGGTCTGTTTCCGTGCTGTACGTTTCTATGGCTCTATGTACAGATCTTGCATTCTACTAATTAATTTTTGAACAGCTTCCATAATCTGATTCACAGTTCTGCTCACTCTACTGTGGTCAATTGCTGCTGCTTCACTCCAAAGTCTACCTTACCAAAACTTAAATTTTAAGGCCATGACACACATTCTTTCCTCCCAAAAATATTGAATTCAATCATGTTACGGTCTCTGTCAACTGTTCCTTTATAGTTGGCTAATTCAGGCTCATTACTCTTGACTAAATTCAAAATTGCAAGTTTTCTTGTGAATTTTAAGAATTTATTCTTGCCAAAAGCCATCAGTATTGTAAAGAAATTTGCTTTCTTTGAGACTCAAAATGTTTTGAAGCTGTGGTGATATAGAAGCCAAAGCCAATGAAACATGTATGTACTGACCAAATAGATGACACATTCTGGCTCAAATCTAATGAATTACTAATTGTGTTTACCTGATACAATCGCACCTCAAACCAAAAAAATCATTTGAGGCGTGTACAATTCCAGAGGAGTTAGCATATCTCTGAGCACAATGCTGAAGTGGATATTTTAATGCTTAATTGCAGATAGCAAGTGTCGGCAGTTTATTCACCTGCTGAGAGGATTCACAACTGACACCAGTATAGTCCTTAGTGATATTCATACTTTCAGCAGAGTGGCTTGGACAGTGAGCAGGAGTGAAAACTTTAGCTGATTTTTTTTCTTTAAAACAAAAAAGCCCAGAAGTTTTCAGATGCATATTTGCTGAAAGAGCATCATCTCACCAAGGAAATTTATCTCACATGAAGCCCATTGTAAACATTACAACATTCTAATAATAAAAAGCAAGAACATACATACATCCAAGAATTTTCTGTTTTTCTCCAGTTGTTTTTCCAGGGCTACAATTTGCTGCTGGTGATCCAGAATCTCAGCATTCTTTTCCTGTTCCATCTCTATCATTGTGTTCATCTGCTCCTCTAATTCACTTTCTAGCATTTTCACCTGTTTGGTCAAGTCATTTTGTTCTTTCTCTGCCTGACGCTGCACTTCGTGTTTTTCCTTCATAAGTTTTTCCGTCTCCTCCAACAGATCTGCACATAAAGTAAAAACCTATTATTGTGTTTGCAAGGATAAACCAGTTTCAAGACTCCTGTTGTGCAAGGCGTCTTCAAAAGACTTATCAAAGCTTCCCCATCACCTACCTCTGTATCAAAAATGAAGAACCACAACCATGAGAAGCAATCATGATAAGTAATCATGTTAGAAGAAAGCAGAAAATTTGTAAAGACAGAATCCATGTTAGTAATGCTCAAATTATGTACCACAGCTAGTATGAATCCAAAGGCAACCATCATCTTTTTAAAAAAAAAGTCTTTTTAGGGGTTCAAAAATTTCTTCAATACATTTTGCTCTTATAATTTTATGATCCCTAAGAACAAACAGTAGCACTGAGCCATTATTTCACCCCACCTGCATAATAGAAATGGCTCAGATAGTATGATTTATAATTTGGCTGAATTCTAATATTGACAAAAATCCTTTTATATTAAAGGATACTGAAGCGTGTTTATCCAACACAAAATTAATGAGGAGAGCATGATATAGTTCCATTTTTACACAGTAACATTTAATCTCAGAAACTGTATTAAAGGGTATGGTTTACTAAAAGTCTCATCTGATTTTATTTTTAAAAAGATGATTTTTTTTCTGTTGCATCAATTAGTTAACAGGGATCATGCTTATTTTAACCTGTTATGGTCATGTGTCAGCAAATCTAAAATTATAATAATTATGTATAAATTGATTTGAAAGTTTGATTAATAATTAGAGAGCCAAAGAAGCAAACATTCAGCCCAAAACAATTGAAATCAGTACAGCTCAACTTTCCAAATGTACAGTATCTGATTGCAGTTTGGCCATGCAATATACAAACACACCTGCTTCTGGTGCTGCATCTGCAGCTTCAACTAGGCCTAGGAGAACAAAAAAGCACAGTAATTCAGATGCCATCTATAAAGCTTTCAACTTAGAATATGGTGAGTTTACAGAAGAAAGTACAGCAAGGAATTTTATAAAATGATTAGTAATTCACAGTTATATCTTACATGCAATGTAAAAACATGGATATTAAAAGCCAAACTTGACATACATTTTTTTAAAAAGTAAATTTTGTCAAATATGTACTTTCTTTAATAGCAAATATCTTCACTATAAAAAATACCTTCTGACAAGTAGATACAAAAATCCAATCCCACATAACTAAAGCACGATTCAATATATTTATACAATATATATAGTCATCCAAAATATTGTCCCCAAAACACGCATTAATTTATATTAGTTCTCAAAATTAATTTCTGAATCTTTACTCCTGATTGTGGTAAGTTTTGATGTGTTTCAAAAACTGACAATTAAGGTGCCAATAACTGTGGCATGCACAGCAGTGTGAATCTGGAAATTAAAGTGGGTCAAACAGTGGTACACCTAAGAGTTCACTACTTCTAATGACAAGCATGGAATCAGTTTGAATTGTGATAACTACCCACTAACTACAAATTGCTTACAAATGAAATGGGGCCTTCCTTTCAAGTGGCAAATATTTAATAAGGAAGCACACAGAGAAAGGATGCTTAAATGTTAAAACAAATAGATTTTGAAAACATTTTTAAAAATCAGATTAATCTTCCTTAGGATTTGTCGTTGCTTTGTGATGAAACAAGATTTATTTAGCTATTTCCTTACTTCAAAGTAAATCACCACTTAAACAAATCAGATCAATCTTGTTAAAAGGTTAACATGAAACCTTACAAAAGCTACAGATTTTACGTTAAAGGAAGCAAATAACTTTTAGCATGGTTTTGCAAACGTTTTAAATTTTCATTATTATTTTTAAACCTAATTATCCGACTTTCTCAAAATATGTACAAGTATTCTGAGCAAAATGACTTTACTTTTAAAAATATTCAAAATTTTAAGTTTTTAAAATGAATTATGCCAAATAAATTTGCTTTTCCAAGGCCATTTATTGGAATAGCCTGCTTTATACAATTCTTATAATGCAGTAACTTTCTCATCACACAAATGCCAGGCAACAACCATCTCCAATGAAGTACAATCTAACAATCTAACAATGCTGTAAACTATCACAGAATCCCCCACTATCAACATCCCAGGGGTTATCATTGACTAGAAACTCAATTGGACTTGCCATGGGCCAAAGGGCCTGTACTGTGCTGTACTGTTCTATATAAACGCAGTGGCTACAAGATCAGATCAGAGGCTAGGAATATTGTGGTGAGTAACTCACCTCTTGACTCCCCCAAGTCTGTCCACCAACCTCAAGGCACAAGTCAGAAGTGTGATGAAATACTCCCCATTTGCCTGGATGGATGCAGGTTCCAATAACACACAAGAAGCTTGACATCATCCAGTGCAAAGCAGCCCGCTTTGATTGGCACTACATCCACAAGAATTCACTCCCTCCACCACTGACGCTCAGAAGCAGCAGTGTGTACTATTTACAAAGTGCACTGCAGAAATTCACCAAAGATGCTTAGATAGCAGCTTCCAAACCCACGACCATTTCCACCTAGAAGGACAAAGGCAACATCTACATGGGAACACCACTACCTGCAAGTTGCCCTCCAAGCCACTCACCATCCTGATTTGGAAATATACCACTGTTCCTTCATTGTTGATGAGTCAAAATCCTGGAATTCCCTCCCTCAGGGAATCATGGGTCAAACGACCATATGTGGACTGCAGCGGTTCAAGAAGGCAGCTCACCACCACTTTCTCAAGGGCAAATAGGGACAGAATTTAAATGTCGGCCAGCATCCCATAAATGAATTTTTAAAAAGTGACTGTGAGCCATCTTCACAACAACTTTCAATTTTTGCCCCTGCTACTAAGCACCAGACAAACAACTCCATCCCTGTCAAGGCAAATGAAATTCTTGCCATGAGGATCATGTTTAAGTAAATTGATTTGATGTCACACTATGCTGCTGACTACAAAATTCAACTCAAAGTGTTCCATGACTTCCATGAAAACCACAAAAGAAATTTATTAATATATTCAATGTTAAATAAATATATACAAATAGATCTGAATATACACCTTTTATGTATGGCTCATTTTATTTCACAAGATAATATGATAACTACAAATAAGGAAGTCTATAGGGTTGTCTCACGCATTAAGAGGATGCCATCCAAGCATTCACATTAAAGGTTCTCAATAACTGTAAGTGGCATCACTCATTTTGCTATTCTTTTACAAGGTTGAAGCTTCATGTTTCTCCTATCTGTCCTCAGCATTCAATTCACAATTTAGAAAGCAGTTTGTTGGCGGGTGGGAGGTGCTCGATGGGTTACTTCTTGGGATGAAGGGTTTGATGTAAGAGGAAAGGTTGAGCAGGTTGGGCTGATATGCATTGACGTTTAGAAGAATGAGAGATGATCTTATTGCAAAATAAGATTTTGAGGTGGTTACAAAGGGCAGATAGAAAGGATATTATCTCTCACGGGAAGATCTAGAACTAGGGGCACAGTTTCAAAATAATCAGTCTCTCAGATAAACTGAGATAAAGAGGAGTTGTTGGTCTTTGAAACTCTATTTACCAGCCAACAGTAGAGGCTGCGTCATTGGTGGTTTCTCATTTCTACTCCATTAATTACAAATTTAACTTTTTTTTGATCCAGTGAGATTTAACAAAAGGACATGCCAGTTAGTACTCCTCTCTACTCCAACATCACTGTCCTAACAGTTTTCATTGTTTCAAATTATACATAAATGTAAAATGGCATAATAAATACCTTGGCATGATAAATACGCTGTATAGAAAAGATTGATATTCACAATTTTTTGAAAGGAATTTCATTAGTGTTTTCTTAGATCAATACTGTTTTCTAGGATCATTGCCCTGAGCAATGAAAATAGAATGCCAACATATCAAGTAAGGTAGTCAAGGAGAAAATATTTTCACCAAAGTATTCCTTATCTAATAAAAAAGGCTTAATTTTGTGTTATATTCATTAAAGCATACAAATACAATCTGCATGAATCCTTGGAAATAATATACTTTATACTAATTTGGGAATAGTAAGCTCTACAAACATGTCGAGAGAAACTCATTCCAATAAATAGCTAGTCATGTGAAGACTTCAGTTTGGATTCTCAGTCTTTTGGAAGTTTAGAAAAACAAAAGCCGTGTTGGGAACCAGTGGAGACTTAGGCCACCACACGAACAAGCATTCTGCTGAACCATCTGTCCTGAAATGCATTCAATGTCTGGAAGAGAGAAGACTAATTTTTCCATCTAAGACAGGACTCAAGCAGTCAAAAACATTGTAACTCCAGATTCTCAAGACTTATCCTAAATGTCAATGAGTTTCTTATATCATAGAACAGATCTTCAAGCTGATATAATCAAGGTGAACCTAATGTTGGACATATTATGTTTCAAGGAGAAGCACAGAAGCAGGCAAAGACAAATGGTTTCTTGACTACTAAAATATATCCTGAAGACTTTTGCTTCTACAGAAAAAATGGAGGGGGATGTACTTTCTGTCCAACGCAGAAACGGACTTTTACTGTGTTGTAGATCTCTAAATAAATCACATGTAACAAGTTCATAGCTTATGAGAATTCACAGACCTCTTTGTTCACCTGGGAGAAGGAAAAGGGCTAGCGTCCACAATGAACAACTTTAAAATTACACAAAAGAGGCAATTAATGAACAAATATCCTGATACTCAAAATGCAGGAATAGACATAGCTTGGACAATTTCCTCCCAAGAGCAACCTGAGCTTAATTCTGCAGTTTACTAAAAAACATAAATGAAACAATGAAATGACTGCTTCCTATTTCTCAAAGGGTCACTTAAATTAGACAATACGTACGGAGCTCCACAGTTCCTGCATTTTCTTTCATTGCAACCTGTTGTCTTGTGATTAATTCCTTCTCTTGATGAACTTGTTGTCGCTCCTCTTCTAGCTCATGGAGACGACTACTTGTATGTTGGAGTTCCTGTGCAATCTGATTCTGGATCTCGGTTTTCTCCCGAATTAGCTTTTCTAGGCTAGCTTTCTCCTCTGTGTAACCATCAATGATGCCTGAATAAGAGATTTTTATAGAACAGAATGAAACACTCTGACATATAAGGGATAACAAAGTGACAAAACACAGCTCAGGGAGTAAATGACAATACTTTCGGACACCTGAAGCAAGTCAACAAAAATACCCACCAATCTGTAGACTGAATTATGCCATAGATTAGATACTTACACCTCACTGCAGTATTTCTAGCCTCTGACCTGCTCTTGTAGTCACTGTGTTTATATGTGGTGAGTCCAGTCAAGTTTCTAGTCAATGGTAACCCGCAGGATGTTGATAGTGGGCAATTCAGCGATGATAACACCATTGAATGTCAAGAAGCAGCGGATAGATTGTCTCTTATTGGTGATGGTCATTATCCTTGCATTTGTGTGGCACGAATGTTATTTGTCTGTATCCTTTTGAAGTTCTACACTATCCTCATTATAGTTTACAATATTGTTAAGTTTTATATCATGCACAACTATGAAGTTGTATCCTGAATAGCCAGGTCCAGGTCACTAATGTAGATCAAGAAAGTTACAAGTCCTAAGATTGATTCCTGGGAGACACCATTACAAACATTTTCCTAGCCCTATCAACATTCATTAATCTTTACACTCTACATTCTGTCACTCAGACAATTTTGTATCCGTGCTTTAGCTATCTGTTTTTTTTCCAAAAGCTGTAAACTGTTCATGTCTGTTCTGCGATACTGTACTAAATACCTTTTGGAAGTCCACGTACAACACATCAGAGCGGCACAGGGCACAGTGGTTAGCACTGCTGTCTCACAGTGCCAGCGACCTGGGTTCAATTCCAGTCTTGGGTGACTATGTTGAGTTTGCACATTCTCCCTATGTCTGCATAGGTTTGCTCCAGGTGCTCTGGTTTGTCCCACTGTCCAAAGATGTGCAGATTAGGTGGATTAATCATGGTAAAACCCCTATGCAGAGTTACGAGGATGGGATTCTCTTCAGAGGGTCAGTGCAGACTCAATGGGCCTAATGGCCTCTTTCTGCACTGTAGGGATTCTATCAACAGCATTGCCATTTTGTTACCTCTGCAAAAGACTCCAGAAAGTTAGTTATATACAATTTGCCTGTAACAAAATTTGTGGTCGGTCTCCATAATTAACCCACATTTGTCCAAATGACCATTAATTTTGTCTTGAACTATTTTTCCCAGAAGTTTCCCAATCACCAAAGTTAAATTAACTAGTCTCTGGCTGCATGTTTATCCTTTATCCTTAGACAGGTTTGAACGTGGGTGCAATTCTCTAGTTTTCTGGTATCACTGCCAAGAAGTAGAAGACAAAATAAATCATTGCCAGGGCCTTTGCAATTTCCATTCTCACTTTCCTCAATATCCTTGCATCTCATCCGGTTCTGGTGCCTTGTCATCTATTTATGTACAATTCAAAACTTTCTTGTCAATTTTAAACCAAGACATGGAGATGTAGTGTTGGACTTGGGTGGACAAAGTCAGAAGTCACACAGCACTCCAACAAGTTTGCTTGAAATCACAAGCTTTCATAACACTGTTCCTTCATCACGTGTCATCTGTCATAAGCATACAATTTCTTTTTCTAATAATAATTTCTACATCTTTGTCATCCAGGGATCTCTGGATTTGTTTCCATAACCTTTCCCTACTGAGTGAATATACCACAACTGATCCTAAACCATCTCTTCTTTGTTCAGCTACCATATATCATGACAACCTTCAATTCCAATTTACTCAACCCAGATCCACTTCTACCCCAGTGAAGCTAGCTTTTCCCTAATTAATTATTCTTATTCTTTATTGCAAGAATAATTAATTGAGGAATTATTGTTCATTCTCCTTTCTCGCAGTCACCCTAAATCTTATGACACCGTGATCACAATCCCCTAAATGCTCTCCATTAATGCTTAATCAGTTTGGTCCATCTCATTTCCTATGGAAGATGACACGTAGTGCTTCCTTTGTCGCTGTACTGGAAATGCACAACTGTATAAAATTCTCCTGCCCTTTATACAGCTACTACCCTGGTGCATGTTTGATTAATTAAAGTCTCCCATACATTTACTCTAATTTTGCACTTCTCCGCAATTTCCCTGCAAATGTCTTCCCTATAATCCTTCCCATTAGTTGGCATTGTATACATTACACCAATCAATCTGATTGCACTTTTCTTGTTCCTTATTTTAAGACCTGTTGGTCCTGTCTTTGATCCCTCCAGGACATCGTCTTCCTCTGGCACTGCAACGTTTTCCTTAATCAATACTATTATCCCACGCCCTTTTCATCTTTCCTGAACATGGGAATATTGATACAACAGCTTTTCATATAACTGGCAGCATAACATGAGATTTTGGAAATGTCAATTTCAGACAGTCCAGAAACTCAAACAAAAAATTAATTAAAATATGAACAATCACAATCACTTGTGAAATTCACACATTCTGTTAGAATGAATGGTTAACAAATAAGTCTATACTATACCAGCCAATTCATCATCCTGTTTCACCATGAACAACTGAGGAATCAAAGTAAAAGAGCATTAAATGAATATAAAATGAATTTCAGTGAATGTTCAATGTATTGTGATGGATCTTCATTTGAAACATGAAGACCTGGGCTGTCTAAAACCTTGTGGTGTGAAATGCCGCAATACTGATTGGATACCAGTCAAACACACCACCTTATCTGAAAAAGGACTCGGGGCTGATATTAGGTCATCAGTGTATAGCAGCCATGTTTGTACATGCTTGTAGGAGTTACAGCAGAATCTATTCTGATCAGAAAAATGCCATGAGTGATTTTATGTAAAAAATCATCTGAATAGCCATCAAAACGTGATACAAGAGAACTTTGCAGCCAAGGTAAAATAGCCATATCCTGAAAGTGGAAGAAGGGATCTACACTGCACCTTCACCCCATCCCAATCTTTGGAGCAAGTGTGTGATAATAAATAATCTTTTGGTTTTAAATTTACAGAAGCTTGGTGCTTGAAGTCATTTAAATTGAGATAAAGCACTCCAGCGTAAGAAAACGTACTGAAAGCCATATGAAAATGCCCAACTCTGCAGGTCAAACCTTCCTTTTACCTTTGATTACAAGAAGAAACTGATATACAGTTCAAAGTTATAAAGACAACTTCTTCCCAATGTAACAGTTCTTAATTTTCATGCAACTACAGGAATTACTTAAGTACTGCAAAATGAATGCAACCGAATCAAACACTAGCTCTAGCCTTTTAATAAGCAAAAATGTGGGTGAAGCTGTATATCATTCCAAATTTTTGCATGGCCAGAATTGTATAAATATCTCAATGTTCCAGTAGTCTTTAATCTAGGTTGGTAGCCAGAAGCAACTCAATTGAATACTGCAGCAAATCAGTTCTAAAATATATCCAAGTCATAAAAGAGCACTTTTATCTCAACAAACAACATGAATGCTTACATGATCAATTTGGATTGTCATATAGTTAATCTTTTGTTTGGTAATATCCCATTAGGCTGCCCTATTAACATCTGATACACCCTTTTCGGAATGTCAAAACTTTTACAGGAAGTAATAATACCTTCATGTATACAAAACTTTCATGGTGCAGTAACCCAATATCAAAACCACCATGGTGACCTTACACCAAATGACTGCATTATAAAGACCTTACAACACCAAAATATTCAGTTACTTCATCTGATGTATAATGTATATGTTCAATTCAGAAAGTAAACTTACTTTACTGTTATTACTCATGCATCACTGAATTTCTAATCAGATAGGTTTCATCCCTCAAACGACTGCGTGAACAGTCGTCAATAGGAAGATGAAAATGTTTATAACTTATGGACAATATACCTGAATTTTGAATTTTTTTGGGTAAATTAGAATATCGTAACAATAATAATAGGTCCAACTCTATAATTTTTTGTACACTAGCACTGGAATTTATATGTGGAGTTGCTCAATTATATGTTCAGCAGATTGTTTTTTCAGACTGATACCAGCACCTGTCCAGCAGATTACAGGCCATACTCATCAAGCAAACACTTGTAAAATCCAAAACAAAACTTCTCCTTTCAGATGGAATTCTGCAATTGGGAAGCACTTCATGAACAATCCCAAGTGTACTAAAAACTACATGAACAATCAGTAAAGGCTCAAAACGGGACCCATTTACAGATCCTAGAATTGCCATAAGCAGCGATGTATTCTCTGCAAAAATGCGGCCTACAACATTTCTGAATTAACCAAAGCATGGGGAGTCGATTTCTTGCTATTTCAAAATGACAATGAAAACAAAAATAAAAGCCTACTTGCCTCTCAACCAGGTGAGAGAGAAAGGATAAAAGGTGTGGACTGAGAAGCAGACCTCCGTACTTTAAAATGATACGCAAATGAAGAAAGAATGATGTCAGAAAGACATCTTTGTGCTCCGAGTGGTTAGGGAATGGAATGCACTGCCTGGAAATGTGGTGGAGGCAGGTTCAATTGAGGCATGCAAAAGGGCATTGGATGTCTGCTTGGATAAAACTAATGTACAAGGATATAGGGAAAAGGCAGGAGATTGGCACTAGGTAACAGAATTGGTGCAGGTACAATGAGCTGCATTGGCTTCCTTCTGCAATTGAGTGATGTCATAAACCATAGCATAATGGAAGAAGTTGATTGCTGCGTAGGATTGATGTTTTAACATTTTAAAATAAAAGGCTTCTGTTTGTGTTTAAGTCTCCAGTGGTTTTTTTCTTTAGAGTCAGAAGCATACAGCATGGGAAAAAAGAGCAGTAAATACCACGGGTGATATGGTTGTGGGGAACAAAGCCGCTCTTTTCAACATGATAACATTTATGGATATAGGAAAAACAATGAATAAAGCTAAAGGGATCACTTGGCAACGTCCTAGGCATTGGGAATAACAATAGCAACTCATGCAATTGGACCTATAAAGTCCTTCTCACTTGGATTTTGAAACTTGTACCAAAATTGCGATAGTTGTCACACAGACTAATCAAGTAACAACCTGACATTG